CCTAACTCGTGCGGGGATAGCGCCAACCCCCGCTTATTGGGAACATGGCGCCCACCCACTCAGTGCCAGGCCCTGTGCTCTGGGCTGGAGGTAGAACAGTGGCAAAGACACAGGCCCAGACCGAATGGAAAGATGGGCTCCCAAAGAGAAGGACGCTAGGAATGCTGGGCTGTGGAGCAAATGAATGCACAAGACGCTGGAGGAAGGGGCAGAGGCGGGATTGGAGTAACTCTGTTGGAGGATATGTATCATGGAAGGCTTCCTGGAGGAGGTGGTGTTTGAAATGAGCCTCCGCGGATGAGGAGGTGTTTGACAAGTGAGAGGAAATGTGTCCTATCATACAACCAGGCTAAACTCATGCTGGGGGCACCTGCCAAGCAGGGACACCAAACTTAAATGAGAAATAGTCAGCTGTGTTGGAATTGCCCAGAACCAGGGGCTCAGAAATTTTCAAAGGAGCTGTTTTAATGTTATCACTTGTGGATTCATTTTGAAGTTGTAAAGTCCGATTCTGAATTATCAGGGTTGAGGTTGGGGTTGTCGTGGTCCCACTGTGAGGGCACATCTGGGTATCACCTCCTCCAGGAAGCCCTCCCTTTTGCCCTGTACCTGGATGCTACGTTCTCCCGGCTCTGCTGCCACAAAGCCCTGTGCATACCTAAATCTTTGCTTGATTCTGCAGAAGAAAGAATGAATGGATGAATGAATGAACGAACGTACGAACGAGCCTTCATTGATGTGCGAAGCTTTGAAAAATGGAAGGAAATGAGTGAATGAGAATTTTTATGACGTCGGGTCTCCAGGCTTCTTAAATATCCCTAGGAATGTTTTCCTCCTGAAGGAGAAAAGCAAACAGACAGTTCCTTGGGAGCCACAAATTGAGACGGACTTATGCATTCATGCACGCATTCCGCATCCATCAGGCGTGGCTAGCCGACAGCACCTTGTCAAGCCTGTGCTACACGTTAACAGTACAAGATAGGAGTTAAGTCGCTCTCCCTAAGCTCAAGGATCGTGACCTGCTCGGGGAGGTAAACAAGCAAATAGTTGCCTTGTAAGAACATTTAGAAATGATCACCACAAGAAAGCACTTCAGTGAGTGGAAGTTGGGCTTCCCTGGCCCCGTGGGAGCCAGGCGTGTGGGCTGCTGCCCTGGGGTGGGGCACAGAGTGTGGCCCGCGCTTTGGGCGGATGTGGAAATGAGCCGAGCCGTCTCCACGAAGAGGGTGAGAGATCTGGGTGATTTGTTTCTCTCCTCCCAAGCATCCCGGGAGGCCAGGGGCAGCTCAGAACCTTTAGAAGTAGAAGCAGGCTGTTTTCTGGCAAGAAAGGCCCGGGAGCCAAGAAGAGCTCCCAATAGCCAGAGCTGGAGCCCTTGGGCAAGAAAATAACAGAACAGCATTGAATTACAACTCAGAGTCTGACATAAATATTCATGAGCTCATAGTGATGTAAATAGATGCTTGAATAAGCAAATGGGAGAGAAGAGACCAGTCTCCCAGCAGAAGAATTCACCAGAATGCACATAACTCCAGTCTCTGCCTTCAAAGAGGGAGCGGCCCTCCCCCTGCAGATGTGGGCTGTGCCTGGGGACATCCTCCAAAGGGACAGCGTGGACACGGCGAGAGAATGAGTTCCAGTCTCCAGTGACCACACGGCCAGCGAGGCCAGCACCGCGGCCATAGGCCCCCTCGAGGGCGTGCACTCTGGACCCGCTGCGGTAGGGATGGTCCTCACCTCTGTGCCCTTCCTCCCAGACACCTGTAACCCCAGTGACACCACGAGGAAAGCGCACACAAGCTGAAATCTAAGAGGCAATCGGCAAAGTACGTGAACCCCTCAAAACTGTCAAGGTCATGAAAAACCAGGAGAAAGTCTGAGAAAGTCAGGGCCCAGAGGAACTCAGGGAGACGTGAGGACTGAATGTCGCGTGGGGTCCCGGATGGTGTCCTAGACTGGGAAAAGCGATTCGTGGGGACACTGGTGGGACGCAGTGTGGCATTCAGAGGGTACATGTATGCTGATGCTGATTCCTTAGCTGTGACAAACGTCTGATACTGATGCGAGATATCCCAACAGAGGAAACCGGGCAGGGGTGTGACGGGACCTTCTGTACTATCTTTGCAACTTTTCTGTAAATGTAAAATGATCCTACACTAAAAATTTTATTTAAAATAAAAAAAAAGCCCTTTTAACTCCACCACTTAAAACCAACCACTGTCAGGGTCTCCTGTATTTCTTTCAGTTCATTTTTTTAAAACTATTTTTAATATTTATTTATCTTTGAGAGAGAGAGAGAGAGAGAGACAGAGCACGAGCAGGGTAGGGACAGAGAGAGAGAGAGGGAGACACAGAATCGGAAGCAGGCTCCAGGCTCTGAGCCATCAGCACAGAACTGGAACTCACAGACTGTGAGATCATGACCTGAGCCGAGGTCGGACGCTTAAGGGACTGAGCCACCCGGGCGGCCCTTGTTTTCGTGTTTAAGACTCCACCTGTAAGTGAGGTCACGCAGTATTTGTCTTTCTCTGACTCACCTCCCTTAGACGGCGCCCCCAAGACCCGTGCATGTCGTCCCGTTTCCTTACGGCTGGATAATAACACCTCCGTTCTAATTTCTGTGCACCGACACAACTACACGTACCGTGGACAGAATCGTAGCACGCCTCCTTACCGTCTTGCCCGTGTGAAATCCACAGGAATTGTACTTGCTGCTGAGTCCTTACTCTGCTTCTTTCCACGGGGGTCTAAGTCCCCTTGTCATGAAACGTTTCCCGGAACCAGTTTACGTGACGCTGGCTCCCCAGCCGCTCCCAGCCCCTCTGCTTCTCCTGCGCAGAAACCACACCAGGAGGGACACCTCCGACCCCTTCCCCCCCCCCACCTTCCAGGAGCACAGCCTCTGAGGGACCAGGCTCCGGGAGTGCCCTGCCCTCCTCCTTCAGACCCTCCGTTTGCTGGCGGGGGGCGGGGGGAGGGCACTGTGGCCCAGGAGAGCTCCTCGGGGTTCCCCTGGAAAGAGCACACTGGATTCTCATTTGTAGAGACATCTATGCCCGTGTGTTTCCTCATCTTCTAGAGGGATGCTGGGTGTGGGAAGGCCACACGAAGGGGGCTCAGCACCCCACAGCCTCCCCCGGGAAAGCCGGGCTCATCTGGGCCAGGCTAGTCCCAGCCCCTGCCAGCACAGCACCCCGCTCTGTGCCTCAGCTTCCCCATCAGCCAAGCAGACGTGAGAACTGCCCCTTGGAGCTCTCATGAGGACGGTCTGGTGACAGCTGTGTTAGACTTGCATTGCAGTCTGGCCCGGTGCCAGGGGCCGATTATCTGCCCCATTTTACAGACAAGGAGAATGAGGCACAGGAGGGTAAGTCAGCTTGCTTGAGGTCACAGAGGCAATGGGATTGGAACGGGGCTGTCTGCGGTTGAGTGTGCCCCCAGCCCCCTACTCCACCAGCACGTGGTGTCTGTCCATTCACTCATTCATTCCTTCACAAGGGTGTGGGGTTCACAGGCCCTGCAGGGGTGGGGGCGGGGAGGGGGGCAGCAGTGGACTCCACAGGCCTGAACACGGGGGAAGAGCTTCCCTCCAGGAAGGGTGGTGAGCTTTTGATGGGCCAATACCGGGTCCCCTGCAGCCTTGAAGCAGGGGACTCTGCCGGGCCCAGGGGTGAGGGGGAAACAAACAGAGGGGGCAGGTGGGGTGGCTGCGGGTGGGTGGACCGCCCTGGCCATGGCCAGGGTACAAGCAGGAGGCAGCGAGCGAGGCTAGTCCAGGAGGGGCCCCGCCACGGAGCTCGCAGTCTCCTTGGGGCTCTGAGGAGCCCAGAAGTTTCCGTGAGGCCTGAGGGTAGGAAAACCCTCAGCTTCTCCGTGGGGACTGGACCTACCAGAAGAGGGTGGGCTCATCCACACTGCGGGGGGCTGACCACGTAGCCTGGGGGGCCACCCGCTCCCAGGGCCAGGTGCCCGCATCACCTTCCCAGCCCCCCACCTGGCCGATGCCCTCTGGCCTGGGGGAGGGGGGGGGCGGGGAGGGAAGCCTCTCCCTGTGCCCCTTTTTTCTGTCTCTGAGGGTTCCTGTGGACCCCTGAGTGTAGGCGGCAGGTCCGACCTGTTCTCACCCGGGGCCGGCCTTTCCCGACCTTCCCGTAAGACATGGGACACCCCACAGGAGGGTTTATACCTGTGCACTTACCTGAGCAGAAAAGTGGGCAAGTCCAGAAAGGGCCCCACAGGCCGGCTTCCAAAACAGGATGCGCCCCTTGGGGCTGTGGCTTTCCTGACCCTCCAGGCGGGGCTGAGAACGGCCCTGTGGGACCCCCACCCACAGCGGCCACCTGCAGAGGGGACGCACCTGATGGCGGGGTCCGCTCCGTGGGTCACTTGTCTGTCGTTTCCAGGCCTGAGGCGCTTAACTCGATCATGTCCGTGAAGAGCCTGTCCTCAGTGAGGGTTAGGCTGGCACATCCTCCCAGGGGATGCCATTCGACCCGCTGCGGCACCCTCTAATTAGGGCCTCACAGAATTTGCCAGGAGGCCACCCCTCCAGGCCCGTCTCCCCTTGGCCACCTCACCTCTGAGGTCCGCTCCCCGGCGCACGCTGTCCTGGGCCACCCCCGACCCGGTCCCGCTCTGCGCTTCTGTAGGCAGCCCTGGGCCAGCCTCTCCCCGCACCTGCTTTGTCTCCTTGGGGCACCGGTCAGCCTGGGAACGGTACTTCCCGCGCGATGGGTGACGTGTTGGCTCGTCTCTCTTGCCGCCCCCACAGAACGGATCATTTACCGCGGAAACCCCCGGCTCACTGTCGGGGCCTTACCGTCCCCACGATGCCCGCCCGGCACCCTGGGCTGGGGAACACCTGCTGAGCGGGTGAACGAACGAACGGATGAGTGACGGGTCAGCACGAATGGGCAGGGGCTGGCCACCGGCTGCTTCCCGCCCTGCCCTCCGCGGTGTGCAGCGGGGAGGCCTCACGTCTTCCCGGCTTTGTGTTTCAGGTCGTCCTGGTGAGCTCCTCACTCAGCGACAGGGACCAGAGCCTGTTCCTTAGCACGGACGAGGGGGCCACCTTCCAGAAGCAGCTCGTCCCCTTCTCCGTGGAAACTCTGATTTTTCACCCCAAGGAGGAGGACAAGGTTTTGGCCTACAGCAAGGAGAGCTCGGTGAGCAGGCCGGGGCTGGAGCGTGGGTGGTGTCGTGGCCACGTGCAGCCGTCCCCCCGAGGTCTGGGTGGTCTGGATGCCCCCACGCTCGGCCGCCTTGCGTGGGAACCAAGTGGGAGGAGGGAAAACGTGCACTTGGCGCAGGTTAAGTGTGTGAGACAGGATAGAAAAGCAGTAATTATTAGGGTTGTTCCTCTCTGCCTCCCCTCTGAGTGTACCAGCCATAAGTCTTCTTCCATTTCTAGAACATTCCACACACCCTCCCATGCTGGGCCTTTCCAGGTCTTTCTGACAGCCTGGGATGCTCGTCCCCTTTCACTAGGCAAGTGGGGCATCCTTCAGATCCCGTCTCCGTGTCCTCTCCTCCGGGGGCTGTGTCACCAGGGCCCCACAGGGACCCAAGGGCACCTTCCCAGGGCAATCGAGGGGAATGTGGCGGAGGGCTCTTTCCAGGCCCGGGGGAGGGTAGGAGAGACTCAGGGCAGGTGCCAGGAGGGATCGGCCCCCACCCCAGGTCCTTGAGGGCTGGGGACGAGGTGCCGCCGGAGAGGGCGAGAGCGGTGGAGGAAGGAAAGCCCTGGAGCCCTAGAGTAGCAAAGGCCAGTACTGGCTTCTGTCAGGGCTGTAGCTAATGACCACAGACTTGATGGCTTACAACAGCAGGAGTGTGGCCTCCCACGGTCCTGGAGACCAGAAGTCCAAAGTCAGTTTCACTGGGCCATAGTCACGGTGTCGGCAGGGCCTTGTTCCCTCTGGAGGCTCTGGGGGGAACCTGGCCTTTCCCACCTTCTGGCGTTCGGTGCCTTGTGAAGGAACCCCTCATCTTCAAAGGCAGCATCTTCCTCTCTCTGTCTGCTGTGTTTTCGGAGAGACAGAGAGAGAGAGAGAAAGAGAAATCTGAGAAGTGTGGGAAATCTCCCTCTGCCCCCCCCCCCCCCCCCCCCTCCCCAAGTAACGCAGGAGAATCTTCCCATCTAAAGATCTTCACTGAATCACATCTGCCAAGTCCTTCTTTGCTCTATAGGGTCACGTCCACAGGTGTGGGGATTTTTCAGCCTGTCATTGTGGAAGTGAGGCCCCCAGAGTCTCTGGCAGGTGCCCAGGAGAAGGCCAGGCCCGGGACCAGGAACACAGCCAGGGTGAGGCTGGACAGTGGACACCACACAGGCCACAGCACCCAGGGCAGAGAAGAGTGGAGAAGGGCAGAACATAGTCTGGAGGCAAATGGGAGTGGAGCTGTCCGTTCCAGAACCTTCCTCTGCAACCCCCAGGCCTGCTTGGGCCCCCTTGCTCCACACGCCTCCAGGCGCCAGTGCACCTCTTTTCTCAGGGCTGATTGCAGCGTGCCTGTGTATCTGTGATATTATTTGGTTGCTGTCTGGGTAAAGCTCCTCGAGGGCAGAGACGGTGCCTAGTTTTTACACCATTTTGTCTCAAGTTCCTGGCTGACAACATTGATTGGATGGATGGATGTTGAAATGCAGATGGGTGGGTGGGTGGGTGGGTGCTGGGTGGGGTTGGGGGACATTGATGGAGATGGATGGATGGAGGGCTGGGTGGGTGCTGGGTGGGGCTGGGGGACATTGATGGAGGTGGGTGGGTGGATGGGTGGGTGGGTGATGAGTGGGGTTGGGGGACATTGATGGTGGAGGTAGATGGATGGGTGGATGGATGGGTGGATGGGTGGGTGGAGGGCTGGGTGGGTGATGGGTGGGGCTGGGGGACATTGATGGAGGTGGATGGGTGGAGGGCTGGGTGGGTGCTGGGGGGGGCTGGGGGACATTGATGGAGGTGGGTGGGTGGATGGGTGGGTGGGTGATGAGTGGGGTTGGGGGACATTGATGGTGGAGGTAGATGGATGGGTGGATGGATGGGTGGATGGGTGGGTGGAGGGCTGGGTGGGTGATGGGTGGGGCTGGGGGACATTGAT